TGTGAAACATTTCAGATAGTTAGAAACTTGAAGTATGTGTGAGAGAATATAAGCAGTGATTATTAAGACATGTGTGGATTGTAGGTGATTTTATTCCTTCCATTTCCTTATAGGACTTTCCCCTATGGATAGGCATTGTTCTGGAATATGAAAAGCACTTGAATGGAGACTGCTACAGGCAAAGAAAAACAACTGTGATTTTCCACTTACACTATGTATTTTTTCACCTCATTTTTCAGTGTCAGTTGTTATTTTACAGCCTGTAATCCTCCCAGGTCCTGGAGTTGTGGCCTCCTGAAAAGCACTCAGTCTTTGCACTGTGTCCTGATGAAGACCCCCTACAGTCACAGAGGAGCCAGTCCTGAGGCAGCCGCTGTCTCTGGTGCTGAAGGGGAGGCCCCATCGGGCCCCTCACCCCCAACTCTGCTCTACCGTCACTATTCAAGCCCAGGGCCACTTCCATGTACTCCCTGGAACATCTAGATGAAATGGAAGTCCTGGTCGTGCCTCTCTAAAATATATATATATATGTTTATCTATATTTATTTATTTATAGATATATTTTTATTTATATATTTATATATAAATATATTATATATTATATAAATATATTTATATCTATGTATAAATATCATATATTTATATATAATATTTTAAAAATATATTTATATATTTTTTTCCAGTTCTAAGCTTCAGGCCCTTGTCAGACCAACTTGTAGTTTCTCAGATTTAAAACATAGATATTTAGAAACTTGCCAGTCATGGTGGCACATGCCTGTAATTCCTAGCAGCTTGGAAGGCTGAGGCAGGAAGATCACCAGTTCAAAGCCAAACTCAGCAACTTAGCAAGGTCCTAAGCAACTCAGGGAGACCCTGTATCTAAATAAAACATTAAGAAGGGCTGAAGATGTGGTTCAGTGGCTAAGCACCCCTGAGTTCAAACTCCAGCACAAAAAATAAATAAATAAATAAAAATAAAGCTGACTGAATATTCCAATGGTTTTCTCCAACTGATGCTAGCCACACTTTTCAAAACTCAAACTCCTCTTTTGGGCTGAGGATATGGCTCGGTGTGACTTTAAAACATTTCAAAACCTAAAATGTAATGCCAAAAAGAAGAAAGAAAGAAGAAAACTAATTTTCATGGACTATGTGGATGCTTAAGAGATGTGGATGTGGATGCTTGGTTCAGTTGTGTTGTGCATGTAAACTTGTTCAATCTCCAGAATATACTAGTGGGGGTGGGGTACTATTAGGTGGTAAAGGAACTGGGGCTTCGAGAGCTAAACAATAAAATATGAAGCTCTGTTTTAATGATCTTGTGATGAAAGGGAAAAAAATCAAAGACAAGGGGCAATACAAGAAGGAGAATTTTTAAGAAGGTTTCTTCTCACATAAGAACCTTAATGATCTACATCTCCCAGGGAGAGAGCAAATTGAAGCCAAGAAGCCACACAAGTGTTTGGTCAGCTTGTGTTTAAATGGCCTCAGTGACCTTGGGCACCACAAGCCTGGAACTTGGTTTAACGTAATCCTCAAGCACAAGGGCTCCAAGGACACCTCTACAGAAAACTGCCTTTTTCAAATTCTACAAATATTCTTCCAAATCTGTTAGCAAACACCCAGGCGAAGACAAGCAGGAACACAAAAATCAGGGCCCCCCATGAGTGAAAATCAGCAAAAATGACAGGCAATGTAATAGTTGCACAGATACCACAATGATCAGACACACTGTAAAACAACCAGGCTTGTTAGGTTTAATAAACATAGGCATTTAGTAACCATAGAAACAGTAAAAATCCTGAGGTGAGAAAAGATTGGGTGTATTAAGAAGATCAGAATAAAG